TGACCGTACGTCGAGCGGTTAAGATTTGTGCCCAACTGTTGACGGACGCACGGACGCTCGGACAGACGCACGGACGATCATGCGATTCTACAAGCTGCATCTGACTATGTCAGATGAGCTAATAATTACATGTAGAAGTACAATTTTAATCAGTTTAAGAACGGGAGTGGCGAAGGACACTTAAGTCATCTAGTCTGCCACCCCCAAGAGTAGATTAAAAGTAAAGCAGCCGCTGAATAACATAATGGTAATGAAGAATTTCACATAAGCAGCAATTAAGTGGAGAACACGTTATTCAAATTCAAGCAGTGAAGCAAGCAGTTCTTAAATCAAAGGAGAAAAAGTTTAGGAAACAAATATGTAATGAACAAAATATACAATGAATATAGAATGAGCAGGAAGATACTGTACACTTTAAGAATTATGCAAGATCATCAAGTTAAAACATCAACAACGCAACATAAATTGATCAAATTAATAACAACAAAATAATAGCAGGAACGAAGCAAGATTGCGTAGAACAATACAAAACAAAAGACTTTTTCACATATATGTAAGCATAGCGAAATTATAACAGTAGATGCATTATTATTATATCCATAATAAAGGAACTCATATGTACAGGAAGGTTTGCGTACAAAAACACGTAGGTTAGTGAAAAAACACGAGACAAAAATAATAAAAAAAATTAATATAACAATTATATAACAATATAAATAAACAAATCAGTGAAAATCAGTGAGCTTAATTGATCAATTAAGCTTTAACCGTTCAATTTATGAATAAACTGACTGTTGGAATCAACTCCCCGCCCCAAAATACCCCTATTAACATGTATAACATGACTATAAAGTGTTTAGGTAAGATTTACACAATTTCCCCATAATCGCGAAAATCGGAAAAAGGGCGTGGCCCATAAAAAAGTTTCCGACCAACGAAAATTTTGTAACTTTTTTGGGGGGTTTATATCAATACCAACACATTAGTGAAGAATCCAGCTTGTTTCACTCGATTTCCCGGTAGAGGCCTTATTTGGCACTTTATGACTGGACTAGGAGTTGAACACGCGACCTTCCACATACGAGGCGAGCACTCAACCATTGAGCCATCGCAGTGGTGGTACAGTACAGAGTACGTATGACTATTATATTAAACTATTATATTAATAAATTACTGTACACTACGACTACGTACAGTCACTGAGTCAGTGAGTCACTGTCAGACTGTAGCAGTGTAGACTGTAGCCCTAACTAGAAGTTAGAACCATAGTCTCAGATAGCTCTAGTACTATAGCCCACTTACATTAACTGCCGCTGGACTATAGAACAACCCATAGGGCATACGCGGGACCAACTTAGACCCGCTTATACCTGGCTATAAAACATCTGTGGTAGGCAATTAATGCCTCTTATCCGAAGTGAATATGTCTTAAGTTATAGCCAGTGTTTGCCACTGAGCAGAAAAAGCTGTAGGCCTGCAGGGCCTATAGCTTCTAAAAGCTGCAGGCCCACCAGCAAAGCTGTAGGCCCGCCAATTTTGGAGCAAATTACAGTAATAAAACAGCATATCATGTTCTTCCTTATGTTTATTAGTCATTATCAATGTCCATAATCATAATCCCTCTGTTTTTCCTTCCCCTCGTCGGATGCCTTTTAATGCTTCGTTGCCGGCGGCTCTCAATTAAGGAA